ATATATATATAATTGTCTTCAATTTTTGGCATCTTACACATTTGTTGATTTTTTTTTAAATATAAAGATAGGGAAAAAATGCCATAATAATAAAACTAAAATAACATTAGAAAATAATACAAAATTATAATTTTTCTCTCTACTTCTCTGTGCTCTTCCCTCCTGCTGTTGCTCCAAACCGGCTTGATGTTAAAACATTACAATGAAGTGGATCGGTTTGCTCATACAAATGAATATTTGAATTAAGATCCAGCTTTCTAGATATAGATTTCTAGATATAGACTCTTTAGATCCCATATATACAAGCTGCTAGGCTCTGTGATGGGTTACCCACTAGCTCGTGTCTGCATTACAATAAATATTTCACTTTGTGCTTTCTGTTGCTACAACATTAGGAAATTACAGTCAGATCATCTCAAAAGCATGTGTTTTGGCAGATACAACACGAGCTACATTGAGAACGTGGAAAAGATCTGAAAACAAATGATTTGGAATGTACAATAAACCACACACGAGAATATATACAAAACCCAGCATAATTAATCAGAATCAATCCTTGTAGGGTGTAAATTAACTAGTTGCAGTAACCAAAAACGTAAACGCATCCAAATATGGCATATGAGGAGATAATTGTGTCTCGCCCCTTGGTTCTAAAGTGTGTGATTACTGATACAGCAATTAAAATAGTAACAGTCTCTATACAGTTGCCTGTAATGATGTGAGAGGATTATTCAGCCTTATCTATGTTCTGCATCAGAGATAAACACGGCTAATGATATCCCACCGGTCTACTAGGATGATTCAAACCTCCTCCTTCTCCAGAATGTTTGCTCTGTTTACCAAGGTTCTCTTTTGGTCTTAAAGCGAACAAGTAGTTTAAGACAGCTAAACCTCAGATCTGTGTGGTGAAACTTAGAGAATATTACAGGTTCTGTACAAGGTCTATTTGTGGCATGTCGTCAATTACCACAGAAGGTAATTTTGATAATCTTGGTTACTGTAAAGCAATTACAATGTAAGTAAATGGGTCAACACTACAGACTATGCAAATAACTACAGTATATGTAAAACAAATAAACCCTATAAACTTTACAAAATATTCACAGTGAAAATGGCTTAATACATAATTAACCAGATGTAATTCAAGAAGTAACAAAAAATTAAACCATACAGAACAGTATTTCCACTACTAAAACAAACAAAAAAAATGGCATAGAAACAGTTTTCACTCAGAAATTGCTAGTAAATTTGATCAATTACAATGACATGGCAAGTAAAACTTTGAATTAATCATGATATTTTGAAGTGGAAAGACTGAAATAGTATTTTCTTGTAAAATGTACTGCAAGCTTTTATTTACAACTTCAAAATATATTTTTACAGTGTAGAAGACGGTAACAGTAATACAACAAACAAGTGCGTTTTCCAGTTGACTTACATTGTAGCAAACAAATGTTATTGTAACTGGGTTTTTTTTATTTAATTTTCTTTAATTATTTTCTTTAGTAAACATTTGCATCACAAATTCTGCCAGAATTTTCCCAAAACAATTTCTGCTCAAATTGTACGATGGCATCAGATGTCTTGACATAAAGCTGTTTACCAGCAAATATGTTTACATCCTCTGCATAATCTTTGCAGTATTTAAATGGGAATTGTGGCATTATTCATGTTAAACATCTGTCAAGCACTTTGAATTGTTATCGTGCGTTTACATTAAATATTCACAACCATATTCAGTTTTATCAAAAACTAATGTGCTCTGTGCACTACAGAAGCTATACAATATGTTGACATAGATTAATTAGTTGCTCATGTGTCGTTGCATTAATAATTTTACAGTAACAGACATGAGTTGCAAGCACTCACATGTGAAAATGTAATATTTATGTCACTTTCCTCCAGCCTCCCACAACACAGCTAATGGCTACAGAGGTTTCAGCAGACCTCACAGATCTGTTCTAAGAGCTTGACTTTTTGCTCTACATGGACTATTTAGAAAGCATTTATGAAAATACACCCATACACATGGGACTTAACACCAGCCGGCCTGTGTCACAGACCCTCGGTCGTGAGCATTAAGAAACACATTTAAAGCCCATGTTGTGGCTCGCTAGCCACCTGCATCCTTTCAGAAAACTGTTTGCTTATTTCCCTATGGCCTCACACTTGCTCTGAGTCTCTGACTGTTTTGATATACTCTAGGGCTGGGATTTCACAAAGCATCCCCGTTGGACACAAGCTCTTTCTGAACACGATGAGAGCTGCAGTGATGAGACTTGATGTGAGGAGGGTGATGCTCTCTGACACAATTCATGAGGCGTGCAAGCAGTTTTACATTCTCCACCGCAACACATTTTGACTCAAAACGCTTGTGATGCTACAGGCCCCAAATTTCATTTGGTTGTGGCGGAACTCATGATATGCCATTACTTTAGTGTTTTACTGTTTGTTTTTAGCAGGAAAGTGAGGGGAAGTACAAATCAGGCCATGGCCTGCAATTGTACCTCAAGTCAAAGGCTTTTGGGTTTGAAGTCAACATGAAATTAAAATTGATGCTATTTAATTTTCTTAATAAACATTACTGGTCTTATTTTGTGGAAGCCTGGTACATCTCAGAGTAAAAAAATAGAAGTGAAATTGTGAGATAATATAACAGTCACATTGTGATAAAATTGCATAATGACGTCTGCAAACTTTGAATAAAAAGTTCCACTCAGAGATTTAAACTTACATTGTAAGATATAAAATTAAATTGAGATATAAAGTCATGTTTACAAGAAACAAAACTGCAATTGTGAGATAAAGTCACATTGTTAGGTGTAAAATGCTACTGTGAGATATAAAGTAAAAAAATTGTGTAATGGCATCTTTGAAATTTGAACGTTGCGTCTTTGCATCAAATGGTGAGATAAAAAATGTTCTCTTTGAGAGTTAAACTCACATTGTGAGATGTAAAGTCAAAATTTGAGATATGAAGTCGAAAATTGTGTAATGGCATCTTCAAACTTCAAATGTGAAGCATCTTCCATTAAATGATCAGATAAAAAGTTCCATTTTGAGATTTAAGCTCTCATTGCGAAATGCAAAGTTGAGTTGTGAGATAAAGTTGTATTTACAAGAAGCAAACTGTAATTGCGAGATAAAGTCATATTGTGATATATAAAGTCAAAAATTGTATAATGGCATCTTCGAAAATCGAATGGGAAGCATCTTCCATCAAATTACGAAATTAAAAGTGCAATTGTGAGATAAAGTCAGACTGTTGGGTATAAAGTCACATTGTGTGATATAGTTAAACTTGCTTAATGGCATCTTCAAACTTCAAAATGTAAAACATCTTGTACTCAAATTACAAGATAAACATTTCCACTGAGATTTAAAAGTTACATTGTGAGATGTAATGTCACAATAACGCAAGGTAATAAATGTAATAAAGTCACAATGGCTAGATGTAAAGCTTTCAAATTTGCAATTTGAGATTTAAACTCCCATTGCAAGATGTAAAGTGATAATTGCGAGAAACAAAGCTGCAATTGTGAGAGAGTCCCATTGTTAAAGTCCTATTGCGATAAATAGTTTAAAAATTGCAAGAAATGTCAGTTACAAGAAAAATTTGCAATTGCAAAGCTCCATTTTGAGATTTGAACTGAAAATAACTGAAAAGTCGCAATTACAAGAAAAAAAAGATATAAAGTCATAATTATTTATTTTTTATTCTTAAGCGGTAACATCTTCCATAATTTATGTACACATTATGCTAAAAAAGAAAAAAAAATGTAAATACCTCACATTACAGAAGTGAAATGGGTTGCGAATGTGTTTCATTTTAACTTGAATATTACAGACAGATGAACGCCGGCACATGTTTGCATTTGAAACCAGAAGCAGTGTTATTTTGATCGATTAAATACAGCAACATCAGTGTTTTGCCATTAAAACAGGATGCTTCTTGTCATAATGATTCTCCGTAGTCTGTAAGTAACTATTGATTTCTCTGACATGTCGCTGGGTCGCTGGCCCAGAAGGCTTGCTGCCTTGAGCTCTAGTAAATACAGTATATGTTTGCTATCACTCACTCATAGGCCACCAACATGAAAATGACAACAGCCACAGTTACAGAAGTCTAAAAATATCAGAGCTGTGGGACTCATTTCTCACAGAAGCCATAACCTACAAACCCAGGAATTCTTCAGCACAGATTTTTTTATCTAGTCGGTGAGAAGCAGGCATTAAATCCGATGTTCTTCCTAGCATCACTGTTATTATTAGTGGTTGACGGTGGGTAACACACAGATTTTTTTTTTTTTTTTTTTTTAGCCAGTCGTTGAG